AGGTATTAAGTCACTGTGTGCTATTTAGGAATATTACCATCCTTGTAAAGGTCCCACCAGCCATATGTTCCTGCTCAACTCTCCCCACCCCTTCAATGACTGAATTCCAGTAGAGTAACTCTTAAATCCAATAGTGTAAATCATACTGCTGGCAGCAATTTTTGTAAATTAAAGGCTTCCCCACCCCATCCCATGGCCCCCCCAATGAGCCTCAGAGGTTTTGGTGGGGAATCCAAAATTGGCTGATGATGCCATAAGCCTTATGTGCTATAAGTGAAGCTACTAGATGTCAGCCAGTGTATTTTCATCAACAGCTAAACTTCAAAGCAGCTGAAGGGGAAAGATTCATTCATTCATTCATTCATTCATTCATTCATTCATTCATTCCATACACATCTGCAGCACCCCATTAGTATAAAACACTATTCTTGGCGGTTAACAAAACAGATAAAATCAAACAAAAGTAACAGTAAATCATATAATAAGAGTAATAAAATAAAAAAAACGAATCATATCAGTTAAAACGTCACAGCAGCACAAGCCAAAATACCCTTTGGCTATTCAGTACCACTGCACTTTAAACTTCATTTCTACTCCCATCCTGACAAGACAGACCCATATTTAAAGTTCACAGGTCTGCTACCAGTGTGTAGTTTGGCTGTGCCCATCCTTCAGCTATTATGCTGAGGCCAATGTGCAATTCAAAAAAGAAAAGGCCATGCAAACAACTGTTTTTGGAGCACTACAATGCATCATGAGCCCAAAACAACAACAACAACAAAAACCCCTAGAAGTCTTTCTTTTATAGAGGTTTGTGAGTCTTTAATGGCTCTTAACAAGTCACCTGCACAATTTAGTACTTTAGTGCAAACTGACCTTGAAATATTTTGAGACCAACTCTCTCTGATGGCAACTTCTCACTTCTGCCAAGGGTAGGTCATATGCTACAAAACTGAGTACAGCTTTTTCAGGTAACTATTAGTTCAAGAAATCCTCTTCTCCACAAGTGGCTAATTCAGTTGATTACAGTAGGAAGGCTCCATAATCTGATGTCTAGATAGCCTGGTCCTGTCTACACAGAAAATAATCAAATTTCACCTTCTTAATTAATAATTAAATATAAAACCACTCAAAGAGAATTCAGATATTCTAGTAATTAAGAATATATGAAACCTTGCTACCACCAAGAATAATCACAATTTATAACCAAAACCCCTTTTTTAAGGCGTTGGTAGGTTGGCTGGATAGCTCAGCAGCCAAAGTCATGTAGCTTAATGTAGTAAATCATACAAATTCACTAAATTAATGGAGATTTTACAGGACCCACTAAATCCCTATTAGAGATGGGCACAAATTACTGTTTAGTGATTTAGCCCGGTGTGACATGGCACCCGCCCAGTGTTCCATCGGCATTGCACACTTCCCTCCCCCACATCCTCTAGCCAATCACCCACTCAGAGGCAGCACTGTAGGCTTTCTTGCTCTGCCTCTTCATCTGAGTGGGTGGCCACCAGAGAAGGAAGAGGAAGGATGCACACTGCTGCCAGCGAGTGGACAATCAATCACCCAGAGGAGGTGAGGGAGGGAAACATACAGTGCCCACAGAACTCCTGTGTGGATAGGAGTTAGAACTCCTGTCCTCTGAAGATTTCAGCCACAGAGACTGGTGAAACGTTAGGAAGAAAAACCTTCATAACATGGCCAAACACCCTGAAAAACCTACAATAGCCACTGGATCCTGGCCATGAAAGCTTTTGAGAATACAAATAACCAATTGTTTTACCTTAGAATTATTAGAGTTTAAAGATCTGTTCAAGTTCACAAAATATTACTCTAAAACAGGACTGGGCAAACTCTAGAGCTCTGAGATGACGTATGCCCACCTCTAAACCTAAGAGAGCTACACCCATTCCAACACACTCTTTTCTCTCATAACATTTTTCTTTTAAAAACATTTTTTACAAATTTACAATGCCCTCTCATGCCATCTAGTGGCAGTTTTTAAAAAATAAAATTCGAGGGGAAGAACCTAAATGGCCTCTCACACACTATAGAGCAAACTTTCTCAATCTTTTATTGGCCAGGGCCATAAATACAATATGAAAGAAATATAAGCTGAATCAGGATTGTATAAACTGCATAACGAACTTTATAAGGTGGTGTGTGAAGAACTGTTTCCAGTCTGTGCCCTGCTTCAAATGTAACAAAGGTCATATGGTCCCCATTGAGAATGGCTGCTATAGAGGAGAGAAGGAGACTGTTACATGAAAAATCTATTGTTTTTCAAAGGAAGGGCCAAGGCCAACTTTTAAATTCCTAGAGGAAAAAAATGCAGCCTGCAGGTCACAATTCCCAATTCAGTGCAAAGCTCTGTACATTTCCCAATGCTCTTTTGATAGCATTGTTTCCAATGAACTGCTAAGACTTCCTCAACCTACTGTCTCCGTTGTTCGCATTCTGAGGTCATAGACACAAAAAAGTTATTCATGAAGGTATGAGATGTAGCAGACCATGTTATTATTTAGGGAGGAGTGTATGGCAGCTTCAAATGGCAGATTCCCAGACTAGTAAATTTCACCTGGAAGGGACCCTTGCAGCCTACTACTCTTTTGGAGAACTGCTCCTGCAATCCATCCTTCACTCCTTTCCTACATCCCGCCAAGTACTATCAATGTAGTGCACCTCCTTTGACCCCACTTGTGCTACTTGGATGTCCTTTCATCTTCCATATAGGAGTCCCTGTCACCAGCAGCTGCCTCCTCCTTGCCTCATTTCTTGGTTGTCATGGCAACTGCCATGGGCCATATAAATCCTCCAACACCAAAAGGGGCCTTGAATGCTTGTAAAAGAAAAAAAAGATGCCTAGTGAATCAAGCTGAGTCCAACCAGGTTTCTCTGCAAGCATCACAATGCAACAAAGCTATTGTAACTACCAGCATCACCACCACTGTCAAGTCAGAGATTCTGACACCTGAACATCTCCCTAACAGCACTTTATAGACCTTTAGGGGGAAAAAACAGAAAGCTGTGTTAATCACAGTTGGCATTTATCCTAAATAAGGGTTAATTCCAGAATGAAACCAAACAACCATTTTCAATCATACAAATTCAACTATCAACAGCTTGTCTAATTCTACAAGCTTTACTTCTACACTGCTTCTGTGTTCCATAAGCAGAAAAATGCTTCCAAGTTCAGAAACATCCAAAAGACTTACAGCTATGGAAAAACTGTAGTTTGTATGATTGCCATCCAAAATTCTTACAACTATGAGAAGTTGCAAACAAAAGTACATTCAAAAACAAAATGTAAGTGGTAGGCACAACTTAAATCAAGTTATAAATATGTTTCAAAATTGCAATAGCATGCATTCTAAAAAACCAGGACTTTATAGCCAAAAAGATACATTTAAAAATCATAAAATACATATCTTAAAAATATCAAAAATAAAATGTTTTTAAAATGCATATTAATAACACACACACATAATCGTTTTAGATGCTCACCCAGTCAAACCAGTTTGAATCAATGGAGGAAAATCCATGATGACTGTGTTGCTAGAATCTGGAAATGAAGTTTGTTGCTGCACAGCTATAAGACTATTCCTCTTTGATGTCTGACACCCAAAGTGGTATGGAGTTGCAATGATGTGATGAATTCTTTTATGTGTGTATGCCTTATCTCCTCATATTTATAATTATTTCAGTTGTTCAACTTCCCTTCTAACTATAAACAGTCTTTTCTCCAGGGGCCTGGAATTCCAAGAACAATTTTTCAATAGGAAATTATATTGTTGTTGCACCCACTGTAACTCCAAGGGTTTGTAACTTAGAATATGGCAAGCTGCCACTATGGTGATCACATCATTGTTTTGAGTAAAATTCTGCAAAGCTTGGAGCACCAAGGCTCTATAACATAAAACATCTGATTCACTAGGATTTTGTAATACTGAGATTTTGTAACACCAACGTCCTGGCAAGCCAGAATATTGTAAATATAGGACCTGCACAGGCTGCCACCATATTTATACCCTGCAACGTAAACAAATTCAGCTCTTAGGAGTGTTATATAGAGTGACCTTGCTTAGGTGGGGAACTAGCTAATTGTTTTGCAATGACTACAGCAAACTACTGTTCAATCCTCAATTCTAAAAGCACTTTTATTTTCAGGTCTACTTTTTCTACACCCCCCTTAATTATTTTAACACTCTATACAGACAAAATTTCACATTTTGACCCCACTACCAAAACACTGATCCTGGGAGTAACAATAGATAAATTCTGCTCCCATATCCTTGCATGTTAGAGATCTGGTGACTTTGTCTTCAGATCAGACACAAGCATTCCACGTGCTTATACTTGAGAGGGGCAAGTGACTTTTGTTCATTTTTTTTTAATCACAATGATTATCGTTCAGCCAGTTTAAATGTAAGCTGTATAGCTGCCAGCTGCCAGTTATTTTGCAAACTGTAAGTTAGCTAGCAGACTTCATAAAAGAATATGCTAGCATCAGAAAGTGTGAAAGAGATCTGACCTTTTCTCCAACTGCAGTTTAATCAAGGTCCTTCACCTACCCCTGATGCAATCTTGCTCAAGAAAGACATTTCCAACCTTACAATGTCCAAGCAGGTAATGCCACTGAGAAAGCGGAGTTCTGAAAGTGTGAGGCCAAAGGGAAGCATAACAGGTCTCCTTTTATTTGCCCTTTCCTTCCACTCACCATGAATGATCAAAGGCCCACATTACCCATCACTCTGAAGGGTGCGCCTGCTACTAATGCAAAATGAGATGATTAAAGCATATACTGCCAGCCAGTCTTCTGTCCCAGAATTCATACTCTCTTTTTTTCAATTAAAAAGCTCTTTACATTTGCAGGGTCTTGCATGTTGTATTTGCACCCCTCCCACTTGCTGCACAAAAGGAAACATTGATCCCATTCCCATGAAAGGGAAGGCAAGCACCGGAAGGAAACAAGCAGCAAGTAAGAGAAAGAACAAACTCACACATTAGTAGTGAAAACTCCGTAGATCAGATCTTGTTCAGGAAGATAAAAAGTGCTTTGCAGTTCATTGTAGTAAAATGGGATTTCTCCAGAGCGAGAGCAGTTCAGGCGAGCCTTCATGAACGTTGTCCACGTGTCTTCCAGCAAAAATCTACCCCCAATGTCATTTTTGCAAACCCTTGCCACACGAGAATAAACAGTCTTCCCACAGTCATGTTCCACAGCATTCTCACGGAAAAAGAAGTAAGTGAACAAACCAATGTCATAGGCAGCGATGAAGTTGGGCTCTGGGGAAAAATTAAGCCATAAAACACGGTGAGAGTTTACACAGAAAAGAGCGGAATTAATACAGAATATGGGAGTCGAAGCTGACAAAGGAGCTGAAAAGGTGGAAAGCAAACCCCTTTCAAAACACTTCCCTACCTCTGGGAGATTTCATGCTCTGGTTCTAACTGGTATATTCCTCACTTGAAGACTGTAGCATCCAGGGGATGAGTTTTATATACAATTAAGCCAGTTTTATGTACAACATACGCTTTCCAACCTATTGTTTTGAACACCATGCTTTTCAGTGGAATTAACTGAGACATTCTATTCTAAACAATCTTGTTATGTGAAGAAATCTAGTTATATACATGTATGTACGTACTCATACATGATTAACTGGCACTACTAAGACAATGCCTGCTATGACATACACCCATTGTCTTAAAATGAAGAAAGGATGTTGAAAGCTGTGGCAGCGGTGGCTTCTTGCTCCAGATATACTGTTTTTATATATGCCAGTTTAATCAATACAGTGGTACCCACTTGACGATTACCCCGCTCCATGACAAATCCACTTTACGATGAGATTTTTGCGAACGCTATTGAGATCGCAAAACAATGTTTAACTGGGGAAAATTCGCTTTACGATGATTGGTTCCCTGCTTCGGGAACCGATTCGTCACTAAACGATGATTTTAAAACAGCTGGTCGCTGGCTCTCAAAGTGGCTCCCTGCTGTGCAAAATGGCTCCCCACTGTATTTAGGACGGATTCCTTGCTTAACAGGCACTGGAAAATGTCCGCCCTATGGAGGATCTTCACTGCACGATGAGGTATTTCGCCCATTGGAACCGGTTTTCAATGCATTTCAATGGGTTTTTTACTTTCGCTTGACAACGATTTCGTTTTACAGCGATTTTGCTGGAACGGATTATTGTCGTCAAGCGAGGCACCACTGTATATGAAATACATTTTTAAAACTGATTAAGAGAGTAAGTACTCATTTCTTTGAGAACAGCAGTCTAAAATGGTGGATAATCGTGAAATAGTACTGCCATCTCATTTGCTATTTATATAACTGAATTTATTATTGCTGATGGTCAATAATATAAATGCGTTCAAACATAAAAATGAAAGGAGTAGGAACTGAAATGGTTAAGATATTTTGAGGACTAAGGCTAATTGATATTGAACTTCAATTATAGAAAACAGTACGCACTGCCCTTTTCCTGGAGTTCTGTCAATTTTCTCCCTTGCATCCAATATAGGTAACTGTTAAAGGTAAGAGCTCAGACCACTGTTTTGTCTAAATACACTCACTTTTATGCTGTCGCAAGCTGGTTCGATAGCTCAGTGGTTTAGGTATCTGGCTGTGGAGCCAGAGGTTGGAGGTTCAATTTCCCACTGTGTCTCTTGCAAGTAGAGCAGGAGGCACAATGTGGCCTTGGGCAAGCTGCACAGTCCCAGGGTGGCCCCAGAGGAAGGCAATGGTAAATCACTTCTGATTATTCTCTGCCTGGAAAACCCTGAAGAGGATCGTCAAAAATCAGAACTGACTGGACGGCATGAGCCATTACTTACAACATTCCAGCTGAAGTGAACAGATATTAGCTTTTTCTTCCTGGTCTAGCACTGGGACAGGCAAATTGTGGGTCCAGCTCATTCCTCCTCATGAAGGAACTAAATTTCAGGTATACATATTTAACTGGCACGCAACAGTGATGAGTGTACCAACTGATAATTTCAGAGAAAGCTTTTCATAATTAATTCAAAGCTGAGCAAGGACCAGGTCTTCCATGTCCTGCTTCTTCATCGCCCCACTGCTCTGTGCTGCTTGGGTGCATGCTGTGCATGAGCGTATTGACACATCTGCTGGATATTTGGTTTACTTGCCATATAGGCGGTTGCATTTGGGCAGGCACACAGACCAAGGGATACAAAGAAAGAGAATTAAAGCAGTTCTTTCCTTGCCTGTTGGGCCTGTACCAAATTATGACACATGGAAATACCCTGGAGGCCTGGAGAGATACATTACTATGTAGGCGGCAGCATCCACCAGGTTTTAAGAATTTCTAACAGAGAATTCGCCCTGCAACATGAGCCTCAGGGAAATTAATGTCATACTGAGCGTTTCAATATTGTTTTTCCATCAACTAATTGATTAATTGACCAGCTACTGAGCTAAAACAGCTCCGTTAATCAAAACAGGCACAAAACAAACCTTTTAAGTCATTCTGTAAGATTACTTGACCTAACACAAGTGTGAAGTATACCCCTCCTGCACAGCGAAATAGTTTGATGGCACTGCAGCAGATTATACCTTTAGGCATTGCTACACCAGTGCTGGTTAACTATCCAATTGTATTCTGCTGTCTCCAAAAATTCACAGACATCTGGCTCTCCCATTAAACCTACTACTTAGATTTGTGAATGAACCACCTGCCAATGTACTTTATAACTCTCTATATATGCTCTATATGGATTTATACTGAGAGCCAGAATATAACCAAACTACAGAACTGGCTCCAGGTAAGAGTTGCTCATACAGTGGTGCCCCACTTGACTATTACCTCTTTAGACGATGAAATCGCTTGACGATGAGTATTTTGTGATTGCTATAGGGATCGCAAAATGATGTTTGTATGGGGAAAATCCGCTTAACGACGATTGGTTCCCTGCTTTGGGAACCGATTTTTCACTAAACGACGATCTAAAAACAGCTGATCGGAGGCTCTCAAAATGGCCCCCCGCTGTTTTGCTGACCTCATTTCACAAGACAGGGAGCGTATGGAGGATTTTCACTGCACAAACTTTCATTACTATGTTCTCTTTCTCCATCTTATCAAATTTTTAATTATCTACAAACTTCCTTTTATTTAGATATTGTTTTTATATATTTATTTCCTTTGTGTGTTGTAAGCCGCCTAGAGTGGTCAATATGACCAGTTAGGCGGGGTATAAATGTAATAAATAAATAAAATAAAAAAATAAATTTCCCTTATTGGAACGTATTGACCGGTTTTCAATGCATTCCAATGGATTTTTTTTTTTTTTTGCTTGACGACAATTTCACTGTACAGCAATTTTTCTGGAATGGATTATCATCGTCAAGCAAGGCACCACTGTACGTGCTTTCATGATTGACTATCCCTTACAGAGGACAATACTTTGATGCTAGTATTGTGCCTTTGGGAATTTTGCTGACAGAGTGAAAAAGTAAAGCAAAAAGGTAGACCTTGACTGAGCTCTCTTTCTACATTCTCTCATTAGAACTGTCTTTAATCATTTTGTAAACATACTCTTTTTCAAATCAACAACAGCTATAACCCTTAATTTAGCTGGCACTGCATGCATCAGGAAGGTTTCAGTGCTCAAGTCATAAATTCCAGGCAACTGCTAATTTATTTATATATTTAACATCTAGCCAGAATATTTTATTTATTTATTGGATTCATACCCCGCACCATCTAGCAACTAGACCACTCTGGGCGGCTAGCAACAAGATAAACAACACAATATCAAAGACAGGATAAAAAAATTAAAATAATAAATACATTCAACAAATATAATAACCAGCAGGGTAAATTAAAACAGATGGGAATGAAGGTGGTAAAAGGATGATGACAAGGATGGCAAAAAGGATGGTAAAAAAGGGAGGCCAAGATCTCAAAAATGTAATACTCAGGGAAAGCCTGGCGGAAGAGCCAAGTCTTCAATGCTCGTTTGAACCCATCCAGCAAGGGTGCCAGGATGGGCAGGTTGTTCCACAGATGGTGGGCAACTGCCGAGAAGACCCAGGTTCCCATTCTTTCCCTCTGAGTCTCCTTCCAGGTCAAGGCCCTCAACCGCCCTGCCTGTGAAGAACGGGTATTACAGACAGATCTGGCTGGGAGAAGGCGTTCTGATAGATATCGAGGTCCTAAACCATTTAGGGCTTTGAATGTTATCATCATAACCTTGAAGTAGCCAATGAAGGGTGGCCAGAGTGGGGGAGATGTGCAGGAATTTCTTCACCCAGATTAATTTGGCTGCTGAATTCTGGACCAGTTGAAGTCTCTGCATCAGCCTCAAGGGTAGCCCCACGTAGAGAGCACTGCAGTAGTCTATTCTTGAGATTACGAGGGCATGAATCAGCGTTGTGAGTGCCCCCCACGTCTAGATAGGGATGCAGCTGGGAAATCCTCCGAAGATGGAAATGGGCTGCCTGGACCACGGATGTCACCTGGGTTTCCATGGTGAGATCCAGGTCCACGCAGATTCAAGCTGTGAACCTCATTCTTTGTGGGAAGAGTCACTCCCCCGAAGGAGAGGGAGTTTCCCAACCCACTGAATATTCACAAGTAATATCTTTTATGAGATTTGCAATGTTTTCTTAGAATTAAATTAAAAGATTACTGCAGGACATGGGAATCTGAAGATTGTATATAAGTGATTCCCACTTAACTTCAAGTAGAGATGTCACTCAGGTCTACCATGCTTGTTAGTTTCTCATTATTCCTTTTTTGACGTAGGTTTACTTTCCTCACTGTTCACACAATATACTGCGATGGTACAAAACTAGATCCACACAAACTGATGAAGGCAATTCTAAACAAGATCAAGTTATAATAGTGGCAATTTACTGTATGTATTCAAAGAGACAACAGCAGGAATGATGAAAAAGTTTTATTCTGAATCTATTGTTGCAGCTGGAAGCCCAAGTTTCAGCTGTAGGCAGGGCCATGTTTCATTCTCTCTGGTGAAAATGCTATGATCTTATCTATTTTATCTATCTTATCTTAGAAACTGTCCTTCTTGCTCATTACCAGGTACTCATTATCTTAAGGGTAAAGGTAAAGGTTGGTTGTTGTGGGTTTTCCGGGCTGTTTGGCGGTGTTCTTAAGGTTTTTCTTCCTAAAGTTTTGCCAGTTTCTGCGGCCGGCATCTTCTGTGCTCTGTTGCAGTTTGTTGGATAGTTGAGTATTTATAGCTGTGGGATCAGCTTTTGTCCTTTTCAGGAGATTGGGTGATTATGGTGATCAGCATGTTTTTGTTGTGGGTGTATTGTTGTGATAAGGGGGAGAGATTATCTGTCACTGTGATTGATAGGTGTCATCTAAAACTCAACAAAGCCTTGCTCCTGGCTCTAAAAAATGCCGCCTGCAAAAGGTCAACAAACTCTACCCAGCCACCAGTGATCACTGCACACAAAAGACCAGCTAGTGACACCCATCAATCACAGTTCTCTCTCTGGAGAGAACCAATTAATAATACAGTCAGTGGTTAAGTTTTCATTCTCAGTTTTAAGAATTCATAAAATGCTATATTAAGACAATCACATGACTCAGGTTTTATACTGTTCATATGTTCTAACAACTTACTTATTCTGTATATCTTATATAATGTTTTTATCTTTGAATTTTCGGGTCTATGACAGTATAATAAATAAAACTCAAACAAATAGCAAAGAAGAGAAGGAAAACAAAATTAAAAGGAGATAGAAGTTACAGAAAACTGAATGCTGACTTCCAAAGAATAGCAAGGAGAGACAAGAGGGCCTTCTTAAATGAACAGTGCAAAGAAATAGAGGAAAATAATAGAAAGGGAAAAACCAGAGATCTGTTCAAGAAAATTGGAGATATCAAAGGAACATTTTGTGCAAAGATGGACATGATAAAGGACAAAAATGTTAGGGACCTCACAGAAGCATAAGACATCAAGAAGAGGTGGCAAGAATACATAGAGGAATTATACCAGAAAGATCTAGATGTCCCAGAGAACACAGATAGTGTAGATGCTGACCTTGAGCCAGACATCCTGGAGAGTAAAGTCAAGTGGGCCTTAGAAAGCACGGCCAACAACAAAGCCAGTGGAGGTGATGGCATACCAGTAAAACTATTTAAAACATTATAATATGATGCTGTTAAGGTGATACACTCAATATGTCAGCAAGTTTGGAAAACTCAGCAGTAGCCAGAGGATTGGAAACGATCAGTCTACATCCTAATCCCAAAGAAGAGCAGTGCCAAAGAATGCTCCAACTACCATACAATTGCACACATTAGCAAGGTTATGCTCAAAATCCTACAAGGCAAGCTTCAGCAGTATGTGGACTGCGAACTTCTAGAAGTACAAACTGGATTTAGAAGGGGCAGAGGAACTAGAGACCAAACTGCTAACTTGCACTGGATTATGGAGAAAGCCAGAGAATTCCAGAAAAAGTCTACTTCTGCTTCATTTACTACACAAAAGCCTTTGACTGTGTGGATCACAGCAAACTATGGCAAGTTCTTAAACAAATGGGACTGCTTGACCACCTTATCTATCTCCTGAGAAACCTATATGTGGGACAGGAAGCAACAGTTAGAACTGGATATGGAACAACTGATTGGTTCAAAATTGGGAAAGGAGTATGACAAGGCTGTATATTGTCTTTGCTTATTTAACTTATATGCAGAATACATCACGAGAAAGGCAGGACTGGAGGAATCCCAAACCGGGTGAAGGTGAAAGAGGACAGTGCAAAAAATGATCTGAGGTTCAACATTAAAAAAAAACTAAGATCATGGCCACTGGTCCCATCACCTCCTGGCAAAAAGAAGGGGAATTATGGAGGCAGTGACAAATTTTACTTTCTTGGGCTCCAAAATCACTGCAGATGGGGACAGCAGCCACAAAATTAAAAGACACCTGCTTCTTGGGAGGAAAGCAATGACAAACCTAGAAAACATCTTAAAAAGCAGAGACATCACCTTGCCAACAAAGGTCCACATAGTCAAAGCTATGGTTTTTCCAGTAGTGATGTATGGAAATGAGAGCTTGACCATAAGGAAAGCTGACCGCCGAAGAATTCATGCTTTTGAGTTGTGGTGCTGGAAGAGACTCTTGAGAGTCCCCTGGACTGCAAGGAAAACAAACCTATCCATTCTAAAGGAAACCAAGCCTGAGTGCTCACTGGAAAGACAGATCCTGAAGCTGAGGCTCCAATACTTTGGCCATCTCATGAGAAGAGAAGAGGGAGGCAGTGGAAGACAGGAGGGCCTGGTGTGCTCTGGTCCATGGGGTCACAAACAGTGGGACACGACAAAACGACTAAACAACAAAATTGCCTCGCATTTCACAGATTTTCTCAAAGGAGCAGAAAGAGAAGAGAGAGAACCATTTCTATCAGTTCTCATTTGAATATACTTTATTGGCCTTTGCGCTATTTCACTTTATCTGTGGAATAGTTCTCACATTTTCTCACTCAGGAGCGAGCTTCTTTGTCCAATACTCTCTTTGGACTTTTGTGAGGTTTTTTTGATGTGGTTTCTCAAAACTATTTGAACGGTCTTCTTAATTTTAAATTCACAGAGTAAGTGTTCTTACCATTAAGCCATTTGGAGTTGTACTGTGCTGTTCTAAGGGGTGGGACGTTTCCGAGGCTGCGGTAAATGACTGGATCCCGTCCAGAGAAGTCAATGACAGTTGCAGCGTAGAGTTCTCCTTGTGATGTGATCACGGCGGTTGAGTTGTGCCGAGGATCATAGGGGCAGCGAGCGACCCCATTTATTTTCTCAATTATTTTGCTAATATTTCCTACCTATATTTAAAAATTGGTGGAAAAGATAACAACATGTGATAACAACTTGTGGAGCAATAGATTTGTGTCATTGTAACACTCTACACACACCTGCAGATTAAACAAACAACCTTGGATAATGCTATATTCCATGAGAAAGCCTACATTAAAAGAGCCTATACTGATCTAACAAGTCTAAATATCCCATATCTTTGCACAAAAGTAAATGCCATCCCTAAAGACCAGTGTCTTTTTTCCCCACAAAAAACTTATAACCACTTGATTGCAGGCAGAACAGCAAATGGATTATTTCAAACTAGGGCCCCTGAATAATAATAATGCTGGCACATATCTATTCCCCCACCATCTAATTTTGGTTTGCAACTAGACACCTGACACTGGTTTACTATTCCTTCTCAGTCACTTGAAGTGTCTCACTTCCATGTTGACATTCTTTCCCCTACTCCACATTCAAACTTTGGTCCTCTCACTCAGAAAAGTTAAGATATTCTGATTAGGGTCCTGTTTTGTATTATTCGACATACTCATACTCTGCTTACTGAAGAGCCATGAAAAGGTAGCAAAATGAGTCTCCTTTGGAAAGTTATTCTGCATTGTCGATGAAGCCCAGATACAGCAAAAGTTATTATTTTGATTACACGACGCAGAATATCCAAGCCACCATGGCCAGAATGAGCTTTGTTTGGTTGATCTGGGAACACACAGGATAGAGAGTCTTTGTTGAAGATTTTAATAGCTGGACACATTTGTACAGAAAAAAATTGTACATCAAATCTCCAAGTCCAAAATCTGAAAAGACTTTGTGAACAGCTCAGGTTTAGGTATTTGGCTGATGAGCCAGAGGTTGCAAGGTCAATTCCCCGCTGTGCCTCCTCAACAGGGGCTTGACTCAATGATCCATAGGGTCCCATCCAGCTCTGCAGTTCTAAGATATTATTATTATTGTTGTTGTTGTTGTTGTTGTTGTTGTTGTTGTTGTTGTTGTTGTTGTTGTTGTTTCCCAACTATTTGATCTGAACATATCTGAAAGCCAAAAATGAACTGGTGCAATGGTTTGAAAATGGCCTCTATATATAGCTCCTGTGGAAAATCTGACTAGTATATTCTGGACCAAATTTATATCTGGACATTTTCTGTACATAACTCTATGTCTAGCACCTTACACTAAGCCAGGTATGATATAATTAAACTTTTTATTGTCTTGGCTAGATGTACTGGCATACCTACCAGTTCTTCACACCTTCTTAATCTCATGCACTGTTGCATTGGGCCAGCTTAGTCCTGTAACTTTTAATGTCCCTTCTTGTTATTTCTCTCCTCTCATATACAACAGTGCAATGGTAAATCTGGGGGTGCAAGTACTCACCATGACAGTTCTCATTGTCATCGACCATCCCTACTCCATAAGTGTCAAAAATGCAGGTGGCTGAATCAATCCATACTAACAAATGAGGAATAGGTCTTGTAAATCTAATGGTTCTTAATTACTAATTCAAGACCTAGACACCTGCAAATAGTTTGCATTACAACATGGTAGCTTGCAACAGTCCATTAACCCCAGGGAAACAATTTCTGTCCCAACAACTCTGAGGAGTGTAGCTAAGTTCAACAGAACAGGGAAGTCAAAGGATAATGGCAGTTGATGTCATTGTCCCTGCTAATCAGAAATTCCTGGGGCTTCAGTCCTGCATGTTCTGGTTCCCTTACACCACTGTTGGTATAGTTATGATATCTGTTTGAATTTCACCAGCATGATGAAACTAACTTACTTTTGCTTCTTCATCTATAGTTTAGTGAATATAAAAACTGGCAATTTAATTCCCTATAATTCATTTTCATCCTAATTACTCACTCACTCCAAAAAAGAAGCACAATTTACCTGTCTGCTGGAACATACTGGTGAAAAAGCATTGGTGCCACAAGTGAAAACCTTTTTGCCATAGACAATCAGAACACGAACATAGTTCTGGCATTCCTCCTGAAACAAAGGACAAAAATAACATTTTAAAGTAAAGACAATCACTTTAGGCTTAACTCAACACTTGCTGGAATTCAATAATAGAATTTGCTTTCAATGTGTACCTATGAGTACATGATAAGTGTCCCTCACTAGCAAAAATAATCAGGTGCCAAGTATATAATTTCCAGAGAACTGGAAGCCATGAAAACTTTACTCAGTGTGGGTAAGATATAAACCTCCCTATATAGTTGTTAGATTGCCACTGCCATAATTTTTCACTTTTGGTTATGACTGAGTTCAATATCTCAAGGACCACACATTCCCCACTGCTGCTTGAATTTTTAAAATAGTCAGCACTGCCAGATTTTAAAATTGCAAGAGCTAAGTGATACCTTTATTGAACCACTAAAAATCGTACAAATTGCAAGCTTTTGTGGGTAATTTGAAATTTGTGTGATTTTTTTTAGTGGTTCAGTAAAGGTATCACCTTGATCTTGCATTTGTGTAATTCTGAACCACAAAGACTTTTCCTAATTCTCCTTAGATTATAAATTTGCCTTTAGACACACTGGATGAAATCTTGTTGTTAAGAACAGTAAATTGCAGCTAGGGAAGACCTATTAAACCAATGGAACTTGCAGAGGAGTTGACTCACCAAATCCCCATTGATTCAATGAGTCTACACTAGTTACAATTCAGTTCTCTGAGGAACAGGATTCAATCCACTAAATACTAATATGATCAAGATACACTAATATACTTTAATAAACCAAGAATGATAATACAGCCAGTATCATAATCTGGATTTCTCCAAATGAAGTTTCACTGCCATAATGACAACTGACTAACACTATGAAAAAAAGACATAAAAATACCTGGAATTTTGAGTATTTGTCTTCATGGAAAGTATAGACTGACTAAAAGTCCTGTAATACCAGAATTATATGGTGTACAAAGCAGGAGTGAAATAACTAACAGAAATGTAACAGTCCCTGCCTACTGAACAGGCCTTGGGACCTACCAAGTTGACCACAGCCCACCAGACATTTATCATAGCCAGCAGATACAGCCAGGTTATCAGGGAAATAGTAAAAATTGAGTTTATTAATCCTGTGGTAAATCACTATAAATGGTAGCTGAAGTGAATTCAGCTTGCCAGGCCACAGGATCCCCTGTCCATAACCCACCAACAGAGGAACAAGGACACAAGATGATTCTACTACAGTATGGTGATACTGCAATGATTTAACTGGAAAGAGAGGTGATGCAGTGTATATGACAGTATGGTTAAGATTATGGTAGATTTTGTTGCTTAATTCAACACTATACAATCCTGGGAAATGTACTTTCATGCAAACTAACAATCCTAGCATGGTATATTCTATAAAATGTAACTGAATTATGGGTTAACTGTGGTATGATAACATAAGATCCAAACAGATGGGGAAAAAAGTATTCTGCGTTTCCTTCATGAAAAACATGCTGAATATCCGTCACCACCACCACCCCATTTCACTCGATCTTACATTGTCACAGCACAGTTAGCCCATAATTTAGTTAAATTTTATAGACTATGCCATACTAGGATAGTTAGTTTGCATGAAATGAGCTTTGTTTTGTTGATCATTTTGCTGCCCAGAAACTTGACAAATCAGAAATTCAAGCAATATGAACATTGGATCAAAACTTGAGCTGCCACATAAAGGAATATTTATGGAATATTTGCTATATGGAAAGTAACACTTCCCTAGCCCACATAGGAGGTCCATCCATCCCATAAATAGTATCAGTGGCATACAGCAACTCTGATGTGGATATTGCTCCCCATAATCTGTAAAACTCTGCCTTCACTCTCTGTCCCCAGGGCTCTCTCCTATAGAAATATGATTATAGCCACAGTTTACAGCTCTGGATAAGAAAAATCCTATCCAGATATTGATCGTGCATTTCAATTTATGTGGCTACTTTGGGAAGAAATTAGCTTCAAACATCATTGGAAAAAATTACCTGCTCACAACCCACAAACACCTTGGTGCTTTCTATTCCTTTATCTTCTCATTCTTCAAAGTCTGTAACTGGTCACCAAACAAGAGCCTGTAGGAGATGACTTAGTTTCTTCTTTCGAGTGGAATTTTATTTCCAAGTCCCATCTCATTAAAGAAATATTTCATTTACACAATTTAACGACACAAAACCAACCCAGACTGACTCAGACAAATTTGGAAGGAGGGGAAGAAACTTCCTCCACTATTTCCTTCCTTTCATTTGTGATATGAAAAGCAACTCATTGAAAGTCTGTCCACAACAAATGCTCCCAGTGCTGCCTACAAACAAGTTACCATAAGCCCTTGCTGTTTGGTAATATATTTTATCCAGAACGTTAAGAGACTGTATTGAGCAGATAGCAGGATGCAAACTGCCATAGCCAGTCTGGGGAGAACTCAGAATGAGCATGTCAAAACCACAATGTTCCTTGGAGAGACTTCACCAGCCTTATTTTTCAGTTCCATTATGTCTCGATCAGATACACAAGGATCAGATTTGAAATTTCTCCCTGCCTGAAGTAAGGCTTCAGCTCTTGCAATTCAGAACATAATCTTTCAGAAGCAGATAAAGCACCAGTCATTGTACATGGACCTATCAGATGTTGCCTTGAAAAACAAAAGCCCATATGCTCAGAGCCGAGTTCTATGACCTCACCCTTCTGACTCTCCTCCAACTACACTGTAAGACAGTAAACTCAACAGAGCCAAGAAAAGTCTGAGATAGTCTTCTCCCTGATGTGACCAAATAGCCCCTACGAAGAATTTTTCAATAAAGGGAAACAAAAATGCAGTGCTTCAACCTGAGGTCTGAAATGTAAAGCGCTCATATGTTTACTGCCTCTGTATTTGTAAACATGCTTTCACAGTGTGAGTTGCAGACCTTAAGCACAGCCAGGGTAACACCTATCATACTGCAGCTGGGAACACGGTATTAATACGTGCCAAGTGCAAACGTCTAAACTAATGCATGGCTTAAGTTCATGGCATGAGTTCTCACTGACTAACAGGTAAGACATGTGTACATAGAAGCTGGCACCTGCCTTTAATGCAACTCAATCAACAACACAGGTGAATTTGGATTTATACGCCTAGCATCAATTACTACGCAGGTCTTGTTGAACTGCTCTCAGTCCTCAGGTTAAAAACAAACAAGCAAGCAAAAAATGCAGAAGCGGCATTGGTGATTGTACCAATATGGAGATACAGCAATTAAGCTTATTTTTCTCAAGTCAGCTGATAAAAGTAATCCATCCCAAATGATAAGGAATAAGAACATTAAGGGATATGAGCAAAGATTTGACATACAAGTCTAGTCGAAGCTTCAAGATTTTCAGAGCTTGAAATCCAATTTCTGTAGTGGAGGATGCGCACATTCAAATACGTATAACAAAAATGGAAAGAGGAGGGTTGTGACATCTTTAAGTGTGAGCTTTTGATATGAGCAACTATGGTGTGGTTTATAATCCATTTCTTCAAGCACAACAAGTGTGAAGGCGTCAGTAATCCACGAAAGCTCACAGAAGAATAAATCTCTCCATGTTAAAAGTGCCACAAGCCTTTTGTTTTGGTTTTTTGTTGTTGCACATTTCCAAGCAAATTAACACCGCCAACCCTTTGAAAATGCTACATTCAAAGAGGCCTCCCCAGGACACCATGGAGTGCCACAGGGCATCCCCAACTTTTTCTTCCTGTTTTTCTTCTATTAGAGTTTGGATATTATCATTATTATTTTTACTTTCGCTGCAGCAGATCCGAACAATGATTTTGCACTCTGTCCAAACCAATCTCTATGGGTACTCCCATAATTCTTTTCTTTTTTGCCTTGAATGATCAGTGCCAATATTTTTTTACTTCTTGTTTATGTGGCCAAGTATTCTAGCTTCCTTCATTGTATCTGTTCTAGTGATTCCTTGGTCTTGACTCATTTGTCTTAGGACTTCTTTGTTCATCACCCCTCAGTCCAAAAAAGTGGTAAAATTCTAGAATGTTAATTTCCAATGCTGTCATTTTTTATGGTTGTCTGTGTTATTTAAACTCACATAGTTACAAGTAGACTAACTCACACTAGAAGCTTCATGTAGTGCTGATATTGTCAAAGTGACAATTTCTTGCATTCCTTCATTCTTCATGTGTTCCAAGGAGAGGTGTGCGATGGGGCGATAGAAACACTGTAAACTGGAAAATCTATATGTTCCCTGCTCTAAAGTCCCCTTCCATTTGGTAGAAACTTTGTTCATTATTATTACAGTAAGTTGCTGGGATTTTTTAAAACATCTGGAACAATTTGATAGTAAATACATAGTAACAAAAACAAAAAGGACTGGTACATCCACTGAAGGAGAGATGATAGTCCCAAAATATAAAAATGGGTATCAGTATTCATTCAAAGATAAGAGCCCAACGCGTTTCGGCTAATATGTTTTTAGCCTTCTTCAGGGGCACTAATACTGCACTTGGATTGAATCTGTCTCTGAGGATTTTTTTAGGGACAGTTTCCCACTCAGAGACAGATTCAATCCAAGTGTAATATTAGTGCCCCTGAAGAAGGCTGAAAATATATTAGTAGAAAGGCATTGGGCTCTTATCTTTGAATAAAATACTGATACCCATTTTTACATCCTGGGACCATCGTCTCTCCTTGCTAAGCAGTAAACACATAGTGACATATAGCAAAATGCATCATAGAACCCCTAACAAATCATGCTCCATAATATGAGAGAATCTGACTGGCAACATAGCACTTGTTATATATGTGTTTAGCATTTATACTGGATCAGTAATATCAAAAACCCGAAGAAAGCACAGGATAGGAGAGAGGAAGCCTGCACGCACACCTTCCCTTGCCACCACATAAAAGTCATATCACAAAAGAAACGTTTAAAATGGAGGTGTAGGGATCCATGGGCCATCAGATGTTGTCAGACTACAACTCCCATCAGTCCTCGACAGAACTGCCAATGTTAGGAGTTTCAGTGCAACAGCTTCTGGACTTCTGTGGGTTCTTCATACTTATAAAAACAGTCCTCTCCCTAACAGGTCAGGTAATTACTTCCCATGGCCCATCTTTTGTTACAGGTCAGCTACAGTTGATGGTTTTCCGATAGACTTTTAGAAAAGCAACACAGGATATAGACCTAGTTGAAAATCTCTGACTGCTGGCGACGGGGGGGGGGGAGGGGGGNTCTGCCTTTTGAAAGAAATTTCATTCAGAGGCATGAGAAATAAATTTCTTTTGGACAAACAATTTAATTAATCAGTTTTGCCCAATGTCCCAGCCAAGCTGTCTTCGCCTGGCGTGCTGAAGACACCAAATAAGATTTACTAATGATTTTCTGTCGCTTGTTTGTTTTTAATGTCTGAAAAATTCTTTAACGCTAAAAGCTTACAAGCCATTTTTAAGGGAAGACAGAGAGGACTTGTGCTGCATGCCACAATGAATGAGCAAAGAAAGGGAGCTGACCCATTTGGAAACCCTAATGCTAAAGGCCTGAAAAGCTGTTCCACTAACTGTTTTGTCTCAGGCAAATTGTTGCGAGCTCCTTCCTTTGGAATTTTCCCAACTCAAAAACAGAAGCTTACCACACCTCACTTTTCTGAACAAGTCAGGGCTCTGTGTCAGCTGGAAAGGCCAACCAACCATATGGAGAGGGAATGCTGGACTTCAGACAGATAAGAGTTGATGCACCAGAACTTCAAGAGAGCCGGAGGAAGTCAGGACAGAAGGAGGTTCAATTGCAGACCAGGGCTTAAGCTAAAGTAGTCTACAATAAAATAGCAGTAGCTAGTGGCCAATTAGTTAAAGATTATCAGCAGCTGAAAAGTGGTACAAGTGTAACTTTGGACAATGCAAAAACGTGTCTTTGGGTTTGATTTCACAAGAACTTTGTGGGTGCTTGAACTTGGAAAGTGCAAGGAGCAGTTCACTTGCTGTTCTTTCAAAAAACCTTCAACAAGACAAGTTATTTCAATTTTACGCCCAGTGGTTGTAAACTAGGTAACGTAGTGCTAGGAATGCCTTCAGCTGAAACAATCCTGGTTGATCAATTTTTGGGGGGGGTGTCATCTGCTGACCTTCTTACTGACTCTATTAAGAAGAGTGTAGGGTCGATATTGTTATGCTAAACAACATAGGGTGTTATGTTGGTTGGATACAATATATTGTACAGCAGGACACACCTGGGATCTGGTTTTCCATAATAAAGCATGCTGCTTATAATAGAAAATCTTTAAGGGAGAACAATCTATGCACAGAAAAGCCAGGAATAATTCCACTGGCATAGACAGCTCTGGTCAGATTTGATTTCCAGGCTACATGTGACGTAAAGGTGGTAAACCCAATCTGATGCTCCACTTGGAAGCTTGATCAATCCAGAAAGTTCTTAATCTTTCTTCAAACAAAGCTTGTGGCTTTATTTATTTTTATTTTTTTCTGGACTATAGAAGCTGGAGAAATTCCTAGTGATTTAGCCATTGCAGAACAAGGGGATTATGCCAGGACATAGACAGAAACAGAGTTACGTTAACTCTCTAGCAAAAATAAGAAGCTGAAAGGGAGGGAACTTCAGGGTTATCCATTACATGAAAGACGTTTCAAAATACTGTATAATAACAACATAACTGAACATGGCTAAGAATGCTTCTTCAGCTGTACTGTATGACAGTCACAGGAAGAGATCTGTTTTTTTCCCCATCACTACATCAGTTCAACATGATCTATAGGAGCTTTTTTGAGTGGTAAAGAGACTCCTCGATGTAGGCTATGTAATCTTTCAAATGTCAGCTCTGGGAGGCAGCAGCTTGTACCCTCAAAGGCCCACTGAAATCAATTTGCTGAACATTTTGCAGATACAGTTATTCACATCCATGCTGACTTCATCAGTGGCAATCTGCTGCTGATGCTTACAACATTCCTGTTGCACAGATGGAACACATCCAACAGGATTTCATCATTATTTTAAAAGAAATGGGTGAGATTCAGGCACTATCTTGACATTTTCTTATGGATACCTTTTAACTTAGGCAAACTGAAGACTTGGGCAAAATACTATGGAAGAATGGGACCTAGCAATTTTCTTGGGACTTCTGGCTGTCTAGCGTTGTGATACTGGGTAGAGCTGGCCCAAGTATCTAGTCCTCAGAGATGCTTAATGTCTCCTTGAAGAATGGGATGTCCCCAGTGTCTTCAAGGAGGCAGAGAGGATGACACTCTTTTAAGAAGTCTAGTTTAGATTCAGTGGGTTGAGGTCATTACTGCCCTATGTCAAATATGCTAGTCTTGGGCAAGGTGTCAGAGCATGCAATTGCTTCTCAAATATGAGCAATGTTGGGTAAAACTCATTACTTGGAGTGAGTTTGGTTTAATTCTCATGCAAACCGAGCCAAATAATTGTACAGTGAGCCTTGGGAAAATGTCAGTGTTATCATAAAATGTAACATCATTTCAAGCCACTGATGGCAGACACTGTACTGAAAACATTTCAAATACCTATCTCCTCCTATAGCTAGGAGGGGATAGGTAGGAAACATACCTCAGATTTTCCTTTACTCTGACAAGATCTCCTTGTATCTTCATCTGAGCTCCATTCTGTTGCCTAGGGAACCAAAATAGACAAGTCATATAATAAATAATGTGAATGATTGCTCTTTGGCCAACCTTAATTTGGAGATATGGCAGACTCTTTCATTGTCTGCATCATTCTTGCTGTTTACAAAGAAAAGGCAATCAATAAAGAAATCAGCCCTCTAGGGGTTGAAGCAACAAACATATGAATACAGAAAAAACAGTTTTGAAAAGTTCATATGTGTGGAAATCCATATAATTCACCTTTAACTAGCTGTGATGACAAACACTTTTCCAATGGACCTCATGTTTTCAAAAATTCCGCATCAGCACAATCCAAATTATACTAAGGTTTTGGTTCATTCATGCCATTCAGAATGTGCATGGCATAGTGCTATTTCAGCTATGCCTTTAATACACCAGTTATTTTGGGGACCCAGGCCAAAGTAAATTTGACAGATCTGTGATTATATAATTTTGTGGGATTTTGCAGTTGCAAAAGGCGAAAGAGATCACTTATGTTTATTGTTACAAGCCTCTAAGTCAGTGATGGTGAACCTTTTTGAGCCCGAGTGCCCAAACTGCAACACAAAATCAGCTTATTTATTTCAAAGTACCAATACTGCAATTAAAACCTGAACACTGAGGTTTTAGTTAAGAAAAAGAACTACTCCTGCACTGCAAGGGTTAAATGCTTGGTTTCCCCCCCCCCCAATGGGCTGTATTAACAAATAAATACTTACTGGGCCTCCAATCTCCCATTGGGCTAGACAGGTAATGGTCGCCATTGCCCCCCCCCCCCGGACCACTGCACCAGCAGAGGGGAGTACTGAAATTCGGGACTGAAGGACGGGTAAGTATTTCTCTATGGCAACTTCTGGCTCGTGTGCCCACAGAGAGGGTTCTGTGTGCCAGCTGTGGCACGCGTGCCACAGGTTTGCCATCACTGCTCTAAGTCTACTAGTATTATAGATGAAAGTTTTAAAAAGCAATTATTTACTTCTTTCTCAAAAGTAACCAGAACAGTTACTTTTCACCACTTAGAAAAATCATCTGAATATTGCAGGCCTCTGACATACTGTCCTTCTGTCCACCTTTTGCTTCAACACCCACAATATGAGCCCAATGAGCCACAATATGATTCAGCATTTAAACCATGTGACACCCCTTTCCAACTATTTAGCAAGGCCAAGCTCGATAACTAAAAAGTAACTATTATATATACATTATCACATTGATTCATAGTTTGTGTGTCTGTGTGTTTAATATTTTGACACACATATACACACACACACATATATATAACAATGAACTTATGGCAACTATCTCTCTCTGGATTCTTGTCCTGTAATTTTTCTTCTTCAGAATAGCAACTTTCAGATCCTGTGCAGAGTGTTCAGGTAAATTAAAATTATTTTTATAAGGTTTATAACAGAGACAAATCTATGTAACAGATACATTTTCTAGACACCACTGTAAAACTACAACATGGGCATCTAACACCGCTCCATACTGGAAACCCACCAATCGGTACACCTATTTGCATGCTCCCAGCTTCCACACAACAAAATCCATTGTCTACAGCCAAGCCCTCAGATACAATTGCATCTGCTGGGACCCACAAGATCAAGATTCCAGACTCAAGTACATTCCTCAGACTGCAATACACATCCAATATGATTAAGGAACAAATTAACAGGGGAAGGACAAATACCCAGAAGTAACCTACTGCAGGACAAACCCAGAAGAGAAAATGACTGAACTCCACTAGTTATCACCTACAGCCCACAATTGAGATCACTCACACATATCATAAGTGATCTCCAACCCATCCTTGACAAGAATACCTCACTATCCCAAGTCCTTGGTGGCAGACCTTTATTTGCTTAAAGACAACCCCCGCATCTCAAGCAACTACTGACACACAGTGGGCTACACAACACTTGACCCAGAGAAGGGGACTAACCCTGGTATAATCCAGAGGCCAGTTCTGCCCCCACATTTATTCTGGCAGCACAATTATAGGACCTACAGTAACAAGGTCACACACAGCAAGGATACTTAAAACTAACAGGTCACCATTGAGAAGCCACCTCAACCTACTTAGCATTACAATAATAATAGCTGACGACAATAAATTGTTGCTGGAAAATCCAACCTGCTGCTTGCCCCTTTTTTCCTATGGGGACTATAAACAAAGCTGAGAGGTAACAAGGAGCTTTCAGAGGAGTGGAAGAAGGAACCACTATTCCTACTAAATACAAAGTTTCAGCTCTTCAACTTGCAAATCGTGGCTCTACTAGCAGGATTAATTTTTAAAAAAAAGGAAAAAAAAGAGGACCATTAGCATCAATACCAAATGGAAACATCAACCCCTTACTCCCTCTAAACATGACAGCAGAAACAAGGTAAAATGATAAGCTTTTCATAAAGCCATCTCTGTGGCCAGCAAGCTGTGATATTTTCTAACCGCAAATCAATTCTTGACAAACTAAAAGGAAAAACAAAACCCATACTAACAACCTCCAGACATGAGATGGCTTCTCTTTCTATTCCAGAAACGCCCAAGAGCTGCACTCCCCATTACTATCCCACTTTAGCCTGACAACACTTGACAGGACAAAATGAAACAAGAAATATAGATATGTATAGCTAGCTACTTTAGCAGTCAATACAACTCAGAAGGTAAATAGGTTGGTCTCTCTGGGAATTGTACCAAAGAAAGGGAGCAGAGACAAAAATCTATTTTCTGCATACCGAAGTTCAGGTCAGAGAGCAATATTCCCACAGCTCTATGTCAGCCGCACTGCCCTTAAGTTGTTCTAACCTAACCCATACAGCCTGGTGATAATAGAAACCCTTGACAACAGAGAAAATGATGGGAACAGGCTGCTGGAGACTGCTCCATTAGTCAATTCAGCTTTAATTACAGTCAAGGGGACAATTAAATGGGAAGGAAGGGCAAGCTATGTTTTACTAGGCCCCTGAACATGCCTGGGTTATGCTGTGAGGGAAACAGCCACAGGCTTAGAAACCGTTACTCAGGAGGCATATTAATACTCTTGGCAAAACAAGACCCGGTAGATCAACCTTGCCCCTAATCACAATCTAAAAACGCCTGATGCAATTTCCTAAGTGACCCAGTACTTGAATGCTGGGCTTCTCTCTTTTCTTCGAATTCAGACACACCTTTTATCTAGGAGTTCCCTCATGAAAACATTAATCTCCCTTCATTTAACTTTTGAACTTCTTCAGCTACCCTCTTTTTCCCCCCCTTTCCTAATTTTAGTATCTTTATGTTTCCCCAGTAAGACATTTTGACACAGGAGTGCATCTTTATGGGCTCCTGCAGATCTACTGAACCTTTACATCTCATTATGCAATAAAACTCTTGTCAGCCTCATTTCATCACCCTCTGAATGGACTGAAAGATCCTGTTAGGCCCCTGAAAATCCTAGCTTCAAAGACACATATATCCAAACCATCTTGTCAACAGAAATAATTTTTAAGATGTGTTGATGATCCTATTACCAACACTTAATGTGTGCTTATTTAACACCATCAGTATGACAGATTGTAAACTCTATGAACAAGAGCTATGACATTCCTCATAGTTATACACAAAGCTTAATACAACAGATAGGACCCAAGGGGAAGAAAAAGATTTTATGAAGGAGTAATGATGTTATGGGAAAAAATGCACAAATATTAATGGCAAGTCAAGTTCAGAGTTAAAGACATATGGTTAGCACAATTTCATGGCCAGAAGGCAACAAAATGCAGAACAGTGATCCCTGCCCTTTGTAGGTCAAAATGCAAGCTTTACCTCTACTGTGACATGAGGCAGTGAAAATAAATTAAGGCCTCTACAAAAATAGAAAAAAAAATTCTGGAAACAATCAGAAGAGGCAATGAGCAATAACAATTAATAGTTCTTATAAGAAATATTTTATAAGGACAGTTCCATAATTCAAAAATGGCATTTATAGCTTTTTGTCTAAAGTTGATCAGTTGCTTATCTTTAACATACCAGAAAAAACCTCTTAAGTATTTGTGAAGATTAACAAGTTTAAAATAAGAACAATCATAACATCACTGTTTCATTTAATTTTTTAAGTAAAGTTGGTTTGGCCCATGAACACAGTTCAAATTTTTCATGTGGCCCCCCTATAGAAATTAATTGCCCACCACTGCTTTAATTAAAATGATAATAGCACATTTTACCTTTACTAGTTCTTTCAACTAGCTGTCATTCAAAATAGTTTCTACGGGGCTAGAACAGAAGAGAACAAAGCTTTCATTCAGATACCATGGACACCCAACAGGATACCCAAAATGCCTCAAAACTTCTGTGAGGTGTCTCTTGCTTAAAATTAAGAATTTAAATAGATGTAAACAGAGAAGCAATTTATGGAGAGTTCTGGGGGGTCGGGTTGTAATATATAACAACAACAACAACAACAACAACAACAACAACAACAACAACAACAAAAAGATTT